GTGCTTAGGAAAGCATCTCCTTAACCTTTTCAAGTCTATATGAAAATGATTTAATCATTATAAATTATTGGATCATTATGTAATTAATTATTCTATAAAATTATTAGATCATCATAATAATCAGTGGCTAAGTATATAAAATTAATGAATCCTTATATAAAATTATTGAAACATTATTTAAACAATTATGGATCATTTGATAAAGAAGTTTATCGTATTGTACTGGTCAGTACTTATATTTACTTACGTTCAAATCCCTTTGGGAAAGGTATGAATCGACCTCTTATATCCCCAGCTATGGGTTAATTAGTAAGACTTGTTTCACTAAATCATGATTATCTCCCCGCAAATTTTACAATCTTAAAAATATTTTTTTAAAAATCTCAGGCAAACTTGTACTTTCGTGCCTGCAAAAAAAAAAACGATGTGTGAAAGGACGGTTTTTATCCCTTGACACCGCTATTATTTTAACTACCTTCACTTCTCAGTAATATTTATTGTTTTACAAAGCTGATTAGAATTGGAAACATAAAAAACTAAACATATGATAAAAGTGAATTCATACAGATGTTTTTGTTTTATGAGAATTTCAAGAAAAATAATAAACACTATTAGATTGTTTATTCACAAGGATAATTTTACATTTACAATATTCTAGAAACGAATACAATTAAAACGAATGCAATGCAATATTTATCATTAACTAATTCATAAAGAAATTTATACGAAAACAATTTTTATTCATAAATTTATAAAAAATTACTAAATTATTAAAATATGTGAACCAACTCTAAGGAAATTCTTATTATTTACCATTTTATAAAGTTTGAATTCATTGGCAGCCGATATTTTCACATGAAGCATTTCAAGTGTTATTTTTTTTCTGCATTACAAAGGCAGGAAAAGTAATTGAAAGATTATTAACTGCTGCACAATATATTGTCTTTATTTTGTGATAAAGCAAAAAAAATATCTCGGATGTGCAGGTGGTGTAATAACAGCTCAGAATTGGACATCAGAGCACCAGAGTTCCAATTCCAGTTAAATTTGTTATATTCACTTATGCACAAATATCCTTCTGGGGGAGGTGGGGAAGCGAGTGTCAAAAGGATGTTTTTTCCCTTGACACCACTATTATTTTAACTACCTTCACTCCTCAGCAATGTTTCTTGCTTTAAAAAGCAATGATTAGAATTGTAATGAAACTTAAACATGTAATAAAAGTGAATTTATGTTTTTTTTGTTCTTGATAATTTACAACAAAAATATTAAACACATTAGATTTTTTTGTTTACAAGAATAATTTTAGATTTACAGCATTTTAAAAACTAAACAATGTTATTAAAACTAATGCAATGGAATATTTATCATTAATCTATTTATAAAGAAATACATATGAAAATAATTTTTTATTCATAAATTTATAAACATTTACTAAATTCTTAAAATATATGAAACAGTCAAAAGGGAATCATTATTAACCATTTTACAGGGTGTCATAAAGTTCGTGTGCAGTTTAAACACTTTATAACTTTATTTGTATTTGCGATACAAATAATTTGTAAAAAGGATTAGAAAGAAGTAAATCTATATTTTTTAAGGTTTTATTGAAATTTTATTTAAGTTTCCACATGTCCTCCATCATTAGCAATACAAAGGGTAATACGATTTTGCAGTTCACGGAAAACATTTGCCAACTGATTTACAGTAATGCCTGAAATTAAATTAGTTATTTTAGCTTTCAAATCTTCTAATGAACTAGGTTTGGTTGCATATACAATTGTTTTCACATGTTCCCATAAAAAATCTAATGGAGTCAAATCTGGCGAACGTAGAGGCCATTAAAATTGTCCACTCCTTCCGATCCATCTGTTAGGGAATTCCTGATTTAGAAACTCTCTAAGACGTAGAGCAAAGTGACAAGGAGCTCCATCTTGTTAAAAAACTGTATTATCGTTCAAGATTAATTTGGGAACCTGAGCTCTAATGATGCACGTCTTACAGACTTTCTTGGACTTTCTGTAAAGGATTTTTCTATGGGTGCAACACTTTCATCGCTGATACATGGCCTTCCAGGCCGTGGCTTTTCATGGACGGAACCTATCTCTAAATTTTTTCATCCATTTAGCAATAGTGTTCCTCTGAGTTGGTTCTTTATTGTATTCAATTCTAAACTTTCTTTGTACAGCAATAGTAGATTTCAGTTCAGTCAACCAAAGGACACAGTTTACTTTTTCCTCGGCTGAAGGCATGGATCAAATTGATTCTGGAAAAAAGAAAATATTTTTTTACTTATATAAGAATTGTTGCAAATTTTGCGGCAAAGAATTATTCAATAGCTATACTTAAAACTAGGTACATTAAACTTTATAACATTTTTTACAGATTATTTCTATCAGAAATACAAATAAAGTTATAAATTTTTTAAAGTGCACACGAACTTTATGGACACCCTGTATAAAATTGGAATCAATTCGTCGATGTTTTGATAACTATTCCAATAAACAATCTAATAAATAAATAGTGTTTATTATTTTTGTTGTAAATTCTCAAGAACAAAGATAATGCATAAATTCATTTTTTTTTTTTTTACAAATTACAGTTTTATTATAATTCTAACCATCGCTTTTCAAAAGAATAAACCGAGGAGCGAAGGTAGTTAACATAATAATGGCGGTGTCAAAGGGAAATCCGTCCTATTGATACTTCGTCTTTTTTTTTTGTGCGCGCACGAAGACCTAAGTTTACCAGTTTCTATGTCTTCTCTGAACGCACAATGAACACCTTCTTCTTTTTAACCATTTCTGGCTTGATAAGGACTAATTTCTGGAAGGTCGATCTTCCCTAATTTCTTATGTCTTAACCACAACACATGGTATTCAAATATAAATTAAGTTTTTGGAATCTGAGCTGCAAATGTAAACACTAGACATATATAGCACCCTGCCAAGCTAGTACTGGGTAAAAGACACTGATATTCCTCCTCTTAAATGAACTATAATGAAGTCTTTTCGTTACCATTTCGCGCGTCTTTTAGCGTCAAATCTGGGTTAATTATAGCACACCTCTTCTATCGAAATCATTTATCGTCTGCTTGCGTTGCGTCTTAACAAACCCGTTAACTGAAGCTTCGTATGGCTGCCTCATTTCTCGCTTCTGTGTTTATTTGGAGGAAATTAGAGGTCAGGATAAAAGCCTTTATCCCTTCTCATTCTCTTTTCGTTATTCCCTCTTGTTAAATATTAATTTTTACTTATTGTTAGTTGTATTTTGTTTTAACACACATCTTTGAAGGAGACTGTTGTGAAAAAAATGTTCAGGCGCCATTACAATTATCCTTAATATAAACAAGAAAATAATATTTGATTTTTTACACAACGGCCAGTCATTTCAATTTTATTGCTTTGAGTTGTGACAAAAAAGCATTATTCAGTCGTATTAATAATTAGCGTAATCATTGCCAAAGAATAATGTGCATCCATTATAATATATATATATATATATATATATATATATATATATATATATATATATAGATAGATAGATAGATAGATAGATAGATAGATAGATAATATTAGTGGAAAATATACATACATATGCAAAATATATATAAAAATTTCCATACATGTATATTTTCAGAAAAAAAAAAAAAAAAAAAATTTCAAGAGGAAGGATCCAGGTAGAACTCAATGTCTAGGACAGAGTAAGGATATAATAAAAAGGCTTAAACACTAATATTCCATGGAATATTAGTGTTTAAACCTTTTATTATATATATATATTTTTTATTATATATATATATATATATATATATATATATATTTATTTATATATATATATATATATATATATTGAATATATATATAATGAACACTTATACATTGAATATACACAATATATATATTTATATATATATTTATATATACATATTTATTTATTATTTATTATATTATTTATATATTTATATTTATCTATATTTTTATTTATTTATATATTTATTTATATATTTATTATATTTATTCATATATATATTTATATTTATATATATATATATTTATATATTTATTATATTTATATATATATTATATTCATATTTATATATACTTATTATTTATCTATTATATATATATTTATATTTATATATTATATTTATATATATATTTATATTTATATATTTATATATATATTTATTATATATATATTTTTATATTATATATATATATATATATATATATATATATATATAAATTTAAAAGAGAAAAAGAACAGTAAGATATATAATCCTGTGTTCTGATTAATATTTTTATTTTTCAAAACAGTGTTCAATACAAATTTACAGAGCATAAATATTATGAATTTACTAATTTAAAAATATGGGTCCATCGCTACATAGGGATTACCATGTTTCAAAAACAGAAACTAAAAATTTCAAATTCAATTATAGAATTAAATTGATGTCCCTGGTCCAGTTTCATTTTCAAGCGAATTTTGGAATAACTTATTTGGAAATTTACTGAGTTTTATAAGCACATACATTAATAATATTAGTTTCTAAGAATACGGGGAAATCCAATCATTTTAACAACGTGTGGTAGGGTATTCAATTTCACTGACAACTATTGTATCAAAATATGAGTTACTTTCGAAAAGAGGTTAAGTTAAGGTAGGGTAGGGGTGTCTTTTCCAACGAATGACGACCGATATCATGTAATAGTTCTGTACTCTTTTCTTTGTTTCTAGCGAAGTTTTTTCTATTTCTAAATACTCTGCTTAGATTTTGGAAGGCATCATTGGCTATCCCGATGCGCATTCAGATTAGTGTGTCAGACATTCCGTTCACTGTTAAAACACTTTGCAATCAGGCTAATTTCGCAAACTGTGTGTCACTCTCTCAGCAATTCTTAAATGTGGCCTTGAAGCAAGAAGTTGACTGAAGACTTTAATTATGTTGTTTCTGGTGAGAAATTATCAAAACTGATTCTAGAGATATATACAATTAGGTTGTTATCTATCTATCTATCTATCTATCTATCTATCTATCTATCTATCTATTCATGTCAGCCTGTCCATTATCTATCTATCTATCTATCTATCTATTCATGTCAGCCTGTCCATTATCTATCTATCTATCTATCTATCTATCTATCTATCTATCTATCTATCTATCTAAGTCTGCTTCTATCTGACTGTTTCTATCTATCTATCTATCTATCTATCTATCTATCTATCTATCTATCTATCTATTTTTTCTTTCAATCTCTCTATCTGTCTATCTGACTGTTTCTTTCAATCTATCTATCTATCTATCTATCTATCTATCTATCTATCTATCTATCTATCTATCTATCTATCTATTGAGAGAGTCAATGCAGATTTACCTAGAACTAATAACGCCCTTGAAGGATAGCAAAGGGCTTTGCAGCAAACGATATCCCATCAACACACAATATGAAAATTCTTAGATGCTCTTAAAAGAGAACAGAACTTGCAAGAAATTCATATTACAAATGTAACAGCAAGTTGCCAAAATATCAAGAGCGCCAAGAAATACCATGATGTATATGGAAAACTTAAAAAATTAGTGGCATCCTTTAATGAAGAATCTTCAGTAGTTGACTATTTGCGTATAGTATCATATAACTTAAGATTATAAGGGTTTTTTTTTCTTACTAAATTGTTTTAACGATGTTTGTATTTCAAATAATTATCATTTAGTATACTTGTCCTTTCAATTAATTTTCATTCAAACAATTTACAATTCAAATAAATGTTTTTCGAATAATTGATTTCAAACAAGATATGAAAATACTGACATTTTCTTAAATAAATTTAACAGGTAATACCATTTTCAAATGCTTTGTTCAAGGTTTTGTCCAATTTATTTTTGATGACAAATAGGTCATTCTTCAAACACATTTTCAGGTTCAATATAACTGGCTCAGGTGTAATTAACTCGTGCCTACTAAAATATGTAGTAGCTCGTTCTTTGAGTGTAGTATCATATAGTTATAAGGTTTTTTTTTCTTACTAAATTGTTTTATTAACGATATTTGTATTTCAAATAATTATCATTTAGTATACTTGTCCTTTCAATTAATTTTCATTCAAACAATTTACAATTCAAATAAATGTTTTTCAAATAATTGCTCATATAAACCCCAACGATTTACCGAAGTATTTTATAGTTTTATTATAGCACCGTTCGTCCTCAACAATTTTGTTTGCCGCTTTTGTAATTTAATTAAATTTGACCACTTTTCAGACATATGACGTTGGAGAGGCAATTAAACAAAAAATGAACATTTTCGACGCCTGCTTCTCTTCGTTTTCCAAAACTACCGAAGACGCTCAAGACATTTGAGCTGTGTGAGGAGAAGGGGCTATTAGAAAAAGAACTGCGCACAGAAATAGTTTTCACGCTTCAAAAAGAGGAATTTCGTCTTTACCGTCTATCCGTGTTACCACCGACCGGTTCAATTCAATGAGGAGCGAGTGAATAGGGACACGCGCCAATCCTCCAGGGAATTTGCATATTGGGGTACTTTCATTATACTGTGGCTTGTGACCTTCGCTTCAGGGATCAGGTCCCCAAAATATCGGTGAATGCGTACCACACGAAAATGAAATCGAAACAAAATATTTAATCTTTTTCTTGGTTAGCTGGTAAGAAAGTCGGTTCACTGCGTAGAGTTAACTAGATGTAGTCGTAAATTCTATGCTGACAGTTCTCTCGCAATTCTCGCTTGTCGAACTCCCTGCCAGCTCCATGCTTTCCGCCATCTTTAATCTGCAAAAATTTTAATGCAATGTCAATCGCTATCCACTGTACACCTGATAATTCTTTCCTCTTCCCGATCATTATTAATGCTTTTGTTCCTAATTCTTTCAGACCCTGTAACCGTTTGCGTCTTAGTGGCCTTAATGCCTTGCATCTATCTATCTATCTATCTATCTATCTATCTATCTATCTAT